AAACATCGCAAAACTGACTCTTTCAACGTCCTGCAAATCAACGGTCGTCAATTTCTGGCATCCAGAATACGCATTTTTCTCATAAATAAGTTGGTTGTGTAACTCAATTTGTTCAAATCCAGTATCAGAAAACGCTCCATCGTATATGAAAACGGCGTCTTGATTGAACTCAAATTTCTTCAGAGAAGTGCACCCTTTAAAAGTCTCAACTCCAATAATTTCAGCGAACTCCGAATTGAGTACTGTTTCTAAACTGGAACACCCAGAGAAAAGGGTGGGTTGGATGTATTTCTTTCCTTTCAAATCGACTCGTTTGAGTGATGTGCAGAAAGCAAAAGCACCTTCACCGTATGTGATCTTTGGGACTAAATTCACTTCGATGATTCCAGTGCCACTAAAAGCATATTGCCCAACGTTTTCAAGCTTTTCAAAGAAGTCCACTTTGGTCAAACTTTTGCACCCTGAAAATGCAAATTCACTCACTGAAGTGATGTTTTCAGTGTTTTTAAGTGTCTTCAGATATTGAGAATTATTGAAGATGTTTGCTGGAATGGAAGTAACACCTTCAAAATCGGCTTCTGTAAGCAACTGACACCCACCAAAAACTCTGTTTGCGTATTTAGTGGATGCACCAATTTTCACACTTTTTATTGCTGTGTTCCACAACGCTTCTTCTCCAAAATCAACGACGTTTTCAAGACCAATGATTTCATCGAGCTTGGTGCAATTTCGGAAAATTCCTTTAATCAGTTTTGTAAGACCATTTAAGTTGGCTTTTTTCAATGTGACGGTTCCATCCAATGTGTTTCCTAAACTAAATTTGGCAGAGGGATTGAACGTGATTTCTGTGAGGCCGGTATTACTAAGAGCATACGAATTAAATAGAGTCACTTTTTCAAGACCAACAATTTCAGTCAGTTTGACACAATCACTGAATTCATACCCTTCCAACTCTAAATAATCGTTTAATATTACTTTGACAAGATTCCTACAGGCCATAACAACATTAAATCCATAAGTTGTGGTATTCAAATATTCAAACTCAGTCAGAGAAGTGTTTTTAAAGGCAAGACTGCCAACTTTAGTAACGCTCTCAAGTCCAACTATTTCGGCCAAATTGTAACAACCAGTAAACATCCCATATGGGACTTCTGTGAATTCGTTCAAAACAACTTTTGTGATTTTGTCACATCCGGCAAATACAGAAGATCCATACTTCGCCGTTCCATTTAATTTCAGTTCTCCTTCAATAGAAACGCTATCAAAACAGTTTCCTCCAAATTCAGTGATTTTATCAAAATTCACAATTTCGGCAAGTGCAGTGCAATTTTTGAAGAAGTAATTTGGTATCACTGTGGTATTTCCCAAATCAACTTTTTGTAAGAAGCCACAATTAGAAAAGGCGCCATCGCCGTATTTCACATTGTCGTGGATAATCAATTCTTTTATCTTTGTGCCACTGAATGCGTATTTCCCGACTTCTGTGATGTTCTCGTAATTTGTGAAATTCTCCAAATTGTAACAATTTTGGAACAAATAATTTGGAACAACTGTAATCCCATTAAAATCGACTGAAACCAATTTAGAAGAGCTTGTGAAACAAAAGTCCATGTATGTAGCGTCCTTATTTAAGGTGAGAGAAGTCAAAGCATTGTCTCTGAATGCGTTTTTGCCAACTTGTGTGACTGTTTCAATGCCAATGACGGAACTCAATTGGTAACACGTCTTAAAGAGTTCATCAGGGATCACAACCACTCCGTTCAAATCGACTGTTTTAAGTTCCGAATTTAAGTCAAAGACTCGAGTTGCGTATTTTGCGTCTTTGTTTAAAGTAATATTTTCAAGGCCAGTTTTCTCAAAAGAGCTCTGTCCAAAGTCCGTGATTTTATCAAAACCAATAACACTTTTAAGGGATGTGCACCCTTGGAAGAAGTTCCTTGGAATAACAGTGACACCATTTAAATCAGCTGTTTCAAGTAAATTGCAGCCTTGGAAGGTGTTTGCCTGATATGTAATAGCTGGATTTAATTTCACCTTCTTCATGGAAGTGTATGCAAAAGCAGAGTCTCCAATAGTCTCAATGGTTTCTGGATTTTTAAATTCGCTCAGTAAAGAAGCCTTATAAAACAGACTCGAGTTGACGGCTTTAGCTCCATTGAAATCAACAGATACAAGGGAGGCGCAACCGTAGAAACAGGACTTCCCAAAGACAGTTACATTGTTCATCACAATTGAAACAAGTCCAGTCTCCGAAAAGGCGTTACTCCCAATTGACAAAATGGTACTTGGGAAGTCGAAGTGTAAAATTGAAGGAGATTGGTAAAAGGCTTGACTGCCGATTTCAACAACATTTTCAACACCTTTGATCGTCCTGAGTGATTTTGCACTGCTACAAAAAGATGAAGGAATTGTCGTCATTCCAGAGAAATCGATTTCTTCAAGGAACGGGCAACTGGAGAAAACGTTTGAAGCATAAGTCGCCGTTGGAGTTAATTTGACTTTTCGGATTGAAGTCCCCAAGAATGCCCGGCTGTTAACTGCTGTCAGTGATTCACCAAATTCAAATTGTGTGAGTAAATAACATTTGAAGAAAGCACTGTCTCCAATTTGTGTCACAGTCTTTGTGTTCGGGAGGTTCTTCAAAAGATAACAATTTCGGAATGCATAATTTCCTATACTCAAAATTCCACCAGGAGCCTCGAAAAATTCAATGTTGGATGTGTCAAAAGAGTATTTGTTCACAACAATTGGTTTGGTGGTTTTGAATATTATTTTGGTGATTGAAGATTTTTCAAAACCATTTTGTTTGATACAATCACTCTTTTCATCAACATAAACATCTCCAGAACATTCAGAAGGTGTCTCAGCATAAACACAATTTGTGGTTTCTTCATACTTGATCACACATTCACTTAAAGAAAACGATAGTAGTAATAGGAATAGACAATTCATCGAAAGATAAGAATCGGAATAAAATGTTTCCTTTTATTTTAACATAATAAAACCCTAATAAGAAAATATTTCAAAAATAACTTTTCAACTCCTTTTAGATTAATCGAAAATAAAAAGACTTACAAGCAAACATAGACACTTTTTTAATTGAGTTATTTTAAGGTATAATTTGTAATAGTTTGGTTAAATCATTTTATTATTTATTTATTTGGAAACTTTGAGTAGAAAAATAAATTACAATAGAAAATGTTTCGATATTTGAAAAAGTTCTTCTCTTCGTTCTGTTTTGTGTTTTTTTAATTCTCCACATAGTAAAGAATTTAAAAAATTTTATAATTAAAACAAATAGAAGTTTATATAAGTGATTAATGATTAAAAAACATTTAAAAATTTCGAATTGTTTGTAGAACAAAAATGGTTATTTATAGACCATAAAAATAAAAAAATCAAAAATAACAATATAAAAATTGTCTAGAACATAAAAAAAATACTGATAAAAAAAATGAAAAATGGTGGTTGAAGTATTTGAATTCAACTAATTGGTATTATTATATTATAACTAATAATATTTAAAAATTTTAAAACAATATATAGTCACCCGCTAAAAGCAATGAAAACACGACAAATGGTGTAAAGAAACTATAATTTATTATTTTATACTATAATTATTAAAAACATTAAGAATAACATAAATAACATGAAAAAATCAAAAAAAGAAAATAAGAAAATAATTAATCATTTTTTGTCAAGTTTTTTGAATGGTTTAGAAGACAACGGCAATCTTAAAATTGTGGTTTCTTTTTTCCTTATCTTATTTTGGGTTTTTAATGCTTTTTTTACTTCCCTTTCTTTTCTTTTAACTTCAATTTGGAAAGGGAGTAATACTGTCTTTCTTTTCTTTTGAAGCAACGGAATTGGTTTTGGAATAAACTGTTTGAACAATTCTCTGTATTGGGGCGTTTTTATAAATTTACAATGTTCGATGGATACACGACACTTTGGAAGCGTTTTGTCAATCCAGTTGACTATTCCTGCTTGTTTAAAAGCAATAATATTAAAAGGAGGTGTTGTAACCGCAAAGAAAGAATCCACCAATATCATCAACTCTCTTAGTCTGTTTCCGAGTTCAATATTGTAAAAATCTGGTTTTTTATCTTCCCAAAATAAATTACCATCCACATCTTCCTTTTCGACTTCTTCTTGAAAAAGCAAATTTACAAAACTGTCGTTCGCTTTTAAAGAAGACATTCTTCTTTTAAGCCTACCAAATATCCCCAAATCAAGAACTTGAAGGAAATGAGAAGCATGTGGAGTTAATCTAACAAGAGTTATGTTATTTTCAGCGAGTAACAATTCAATAATCGAGGAACTGTGGCTTTTTGCATTATCCCACACTAGACAAGCTCTAAGATCGGACATTTTTATTTCAATTCCAAGCGCATTCATTTCATTTTTAATTTCAACACGTTTTCTATTAATATAATCAAGCAGAACAGTTCTAATCCAGTCTTCACAAATTTCACGCGTAATGAATCCAGACACACTGTATCGGAATAAAACATTATTTTCCGTTAGTCCATTACACCTATATTCATTTGGAATGGAACAAACGGGCAAAATAACAGTTGGTTTCAGAGTTGAACCATCAGCAGCAACTGCGGCAATTAAAGTGCAATGTCGTTCATCCCTCTCTTGTCGACAATACACAAATTTCATTTCATAATTCATTGGAACAAAACAGTGTCCATCCTTAGAATCTGCTCTTGGACTGTAACCCATTTCATCCATGTTAACAACAAGACCAGAAAAACAATTATCTACACTATTTTGGAGAGTCAAAAAGTAATTTAACACATCAATGGGATTTACATCGAATCGTTTTTCTGCAAGTTGTTTGCACGTTACAAGTTTTAACCCATGTCTTTCTGCCCAACGAATTGAAGATTCTTTTGTGGTATTCAAGTTGCATTCATCAACAAAAAGACTCCAAACATAATCTGTTGTTACTGCTTTGTTTTTTAGTAATCTTCTGGATATTTTAGAACAAAGTATATCAGATTGTTTAAAAGAAATGTTATATTTACTTTTAGATTCATTACATGTATAACACGCTTCTTCTTCTTGTTTAATAACAGCGGAAATTCTTGGCTCATTCACTTTGAAAATTTTTGCCAGATCTTTTTGAATTATTTTCAGTCTCAGAAAACCATCCAAAACATTGATATTGTAGTATGTGTTGATAACACTTATAAACACTTTTGCGGATTCCAAACTTTCCATATTTTTATTGAACACCTTAATATTTTTATAAGCAATATAAATTTGTAACCGTTTATATTGACTGTAGCAAAATTCTTTTTGTTTTAACAGAAACAGCACAAACAAATAACACAATGAATCTGATACATCCAAAGAATTTGCCGAATCGTCGAAAGCCATCGCAGGTGCAGGTTTGGTCTTTTTGTTTTCTGGTATTGTCCAGGTAAGTGTATTTGTACTGCATTTTTCCATTAATAATTGATTTTCAGTTCACCTTTAATCTATTTTGACAATGTTTTAGAATAAAGTAAATTTATAGTTAATTTTGAAATACTTGCAATATAAAGAAAAAAATGACAAATTGAAACATAATCTAAAATCATAATTTCTAAAAACTATAAAATGGTTTCTTTAGACCATTTGTCGTAAATTTACACCTTTTAGCGGGTGACTATACTTCTTTAAAACAGATATATTTTTAAGAAAAATATATTCACATTAAATATATTTTTGTGTTATTTAAACTTAAATAATTAAAATTGACATCAGTTTGAAAATATTAAATCAGTTTTTTATTAATTTTTTAAGTTAAATATTTGAATGTTATTTATAGAATTTATCTTTCACATTAGCACCCCATAATTATTTTATATAAAATTCATGTAAAATATTGGAAGATAACTTAAATTTAAAATTGGTGTTTATTTTTTTGAAATGAGTCCACTTTTGAACAAATGTTTGTGTCCCCATGTTATCCACCGTCCTTGTTATCATTATGCGGACGCATAATATACTTTTCCATAATTTCCATAACCACAAAATCGGATTATAAAAATTTGTGTTAATGAAGGACTTTGAAAGTGGGTGGAAAACCAATGTTTAAGTACATAAACAGACTGAAAGAGTGCATCTTTTTGAATTTTCATTTAATGTTTTATCTCACTGAGTTTTACTGAAATAAGGTGATAATTCGTAATAACAATAAATCTAATCTACCCAATTAATTGTATTAAATAATGACTGTAGTCAAAAAGTAATACAAAACAATTATATACTTGTTCTCAAGTTTTTAAACTTAATGATTACCTTTTTAAAATTGTTTTTGTAAAAATTCAAAATATAAGAATTGATGTGTTATTAATTCGGATATAAACTGTTTCCAAAAAATCGATAGTACTTGTTTTATGTTAAACTATTTTAAACCAAATGTTAAAGGAAAACATCGTAATCTATTTTTATTTCGATATTGTTTAAATTGTAATTGTTATACCATGTTTTTTAACAAAAAAATATTTAATCTAAAACAAAATTACCTAAGATTAATTTACCAATCTTGTTTTTCAATTTTTTGGTATTGTTTAAAATCGCTCAAATGTCCAATAGGTCCACCTTTTTCGTTTTTGCACATTTCGAACCTGTAAGTCATCGAATTCATCAAATTGTTAATAATCGAGTATGGTATATTATTCCAAACTTTTTTAAGATGCTTGAATAACAACTTTTTGGTTCTGAAAACACTTTTTTCGTTTCTTAATCTCCTTTCCAAAATTCCCCACAGATGTTCTATTGGTGACAAGTCCGGGCTTGATGATGGCCATTCAAGCAATTTGACCTTTTTACTTTTAATCCATTTTACTGTTTCTTTTGCTTTGTGAGGTGGCGCCCCATCTTGCTGAAAGTAAAAGTCATGTTTTCTCTCTTTTTTCATGTGTTCGAAAATTCCATTGTGTTCAAGCATTCGACGATAATCTGCCGCTTTCATTTTCTCAGAACACAGAATCAAATCCGATTTGTAGTCTTTACCAATGGCTCCCCACACCATTATACTGGCATTGTATTTTGGTGTTTGACCAGTGTAATTTTTGATTTTTGAATTAACACTTTTCTTTTGGCTTTGGTTTTTGCAACTTTAATGTTTTTTAACATTTCACCAAACGTGTTTCTTCTTCTCCAACAATATGATTTTTGTCTGGAAATAAACAATAACGGGATTCGTCAGAAACAATCGCGGTTTGCCATTTTCTGAGATTTCTTTTCTGTAGCATTTTTTTGCAAAAATCATATCTTGTGTTAATTTGTTTTTGTGTAAGAATTTGAGTTGGTTTTTGTTTGCAATATTTAAATCTGTGTGTTCTTCTTAAGTTGTAAACTGTTGACTTGGACAAGTGATTGTTTAGTGCAATCTTTGAACAAGTTGAAAATGGATCATTTTCAGTTTGTTTGACGATTTTACCGATAACATTGTTGGTAACTTTAGTGGGTCTCCCTCTTTTTACGTTTTTAATGGCGATTTTGTCTTCAATCATCTTTTTTACTCGCGCAATTCTGTTCGGAGACACTTTCATCATTTCTGTGATAACAGAATATGAATTACTTTTTTGTAAAGCTCCAGCTATAAGGGTATCAATTTTGTTCATTTATTTTATTAAGATTAAAAATTGAATTTTTATTACCAACTTTTAGTATTTTTGTTCGTTTAACATAAATTAAATTTCAAATTCATTTACCAAACAACTAATAAATAAGACGATTAACTTTAATTATATATTGTTTTGCCGTTGGTATTTTTACATCTTTTGTTTTTTTACATTCAAATCATCTCAAAACGTAATTATTTTATTAAGTCGTCAATTTGTTAATTTTCTTTTATCTTAATCATTTTATTCTTGAAACCAATTTTATATTAATTATTAGTGTTTAATTTCAATTCATTACCAAAAGCTTTTATTTCAAAAAAATATTTTCATTTGATTATAACAACATTTTTGGTTTGTTGTTATGAATACAAATTTGTTGCTACTGAAAACAATTCAAAATTGAAGTACATTTTTGAACTTATTTAACAGGAAAATAACCAACAAAAATATCTCGAGTAAAAACGTTGCAAAAAAACAGAAAAAAGACTGAAAATAAAAATAAATATTTTTTTCAAGTAAAAACATGACAGAAAAAAGAAGGAGAAATATATTTCCCAAAATATAGGACTTATTATTAAAACAACAAAACCCGAAAATGTGCGATAATTTCAAATTTTCTCACTATCGATTTATTAGAAACAGTTTACATAAAATTGTTTAAAATGTATTATCTTTGATCATGAAAAATTAATCAAAACATTAATTCACAAACAACAATAATAAAAATTCAACAAACAATTTTGTTCTTTCAAAAGTTTTTATTCAAATGTTTAAAAAATCATGTTATTTTGAATATTTTTATTATTTCTACAAAAAAAACATTCACAAACAATTAAAATGGAATAATTATTTATTTTTATTCCGAATCGCTGTCGTCTTTTTGCATCTTTTTCAACCTGTTTTTAGTCTTCTTAAGTTCAGCATTAATTTTATCGACTTCAAGTTGTTTGTTGTTCAGATCTTCACCAGCCTTTCTGACCTGATCTTCCAACTCGGCAATTCTCAATTCGCCATCTCTGACTGATTGTTGTGTCTTCTTCAAATCGGCTTGTGTCTTACCAATTTGAGTGTTGAAAGTAGACTCCTTCTGTTCGAATTCTGCAAGCTTTCTCTCAGCCTCTTCAACCTTTCTAGCATACTGTTTAGCTTGTTTCTTAGCTTTAGCAACCGCGTTTTGTGCTTCTTCCTTTTCTGTTTCGATTTCTTCCAATTCTGTTTCATATTTCGCTTTCAATTTAGCAATAAAAGCTCCAGTAGCACCGGCGTCCGCCAATTTAGCTTCTGAATCAGTGACTTTAGCTCTAAGTCTTTGAGTTTCTTTATCAGCCTCTTGTTTCATTGCTCTTTCTTTCTCAAGTTCCTTCTGTAAATCAGCATTTTGAACAGTCAATGAGTTAATGGACTTCTCAGCTTGTTCCTTATATTCACCAAATTCATTTTCGTTCTCCATCACTTCTCTGAGTTTGTCTGCATATTTCTTCTTCTGTGCTTTAGTCTGTTGAGCAGTCGTTCTTTCAAGATCAAGTTGTTCATTCAACTCAGTCAACTTCTTCTCATAGGTGTTCTTCGACTGTTTATAAGTCTTAGCAGCTTGTTCAAGGGCTTCCAATTCAGTCTTCATCTCAGACATATCGTCTTCAAGTTTGTCGCATTCGTCTTGTTTCTCGTCGAGTTCTGTCTTTGTTCTCATCAATTCTTCAGAAGCAGCCTTATAATCTCTCATAGTCTTGACCTTCTCTTGTTCAGCCATCTGGACATTCTTCTCAAGGGTTTCGGCTCTGACTGTAATTTCAGCTATATCTTTCTCGTACTTTCCTTTAATCAGTTGTGTCTTGGCATGGTCTTTCTTTTCTTGATCAAGTTCAGTTCTAACGCTCTTCAATTCGTCTTGATATTTCTGTTTCATTGTTTCATTGCCATCCTTGTCATCATTTGCAGTGTCAAGTTGTTTCTGTGCCTTGTCGGCTTCAGCATTCAAGTTGTTGATCATCTTGTCAATTTCCTCCAAATCCTTCTCGTTTTTCTTCTTCTTATCAGGAGTTGATCAACTTCGACTGTCAAGTCATTCGCCTTTTTAGTCAACTTTTTTAGTGTTATTTGCTTCATCTAAGTTGAACTGGACTTTCTGCAATTTGCTCTCAGCAGCCTTTCGAGCAGCATCTGCACTGTCAGCCTTCTGTCTTTCTTCATCTAGTTGGGCTTGAATTTAAGTTATTATTGCATTCAACATATTCTTCTCTTCTTCTTGAACAACAGAAGCTGGTGCACTGACTTGGACTTTAAGTGATGAAACTTGTGCATTGAGTGCTTTAACTTGGTCTTCCATCTTCTTTCTTCTATCAGATTAGTCAGCAGCAGTCTTCTCAGCCTCCGCTTTGTCGTCCAATGCCATCTTCTTTTGTGCTTCAAGTGCCTTAATCTGTGATTCATAATTCTCAATCTTCGAAGCGTCTTCAACAGATTGCTTCTTCATATCCTTCTTAGCAGCATCAAGTTGAGTGTTCTGATCTTTCAACGCAGCAACTGCCTTTTCCAAATCAGCAATTTGGTTGTCTCTCTTGATGACTTCAGTTTGGTCAATATTTGAAGTCCCAACTGGTCTATCTTCAAGGTCTTGTACTTGTTGTTCCAAATCGGCTATTTTCTTCTTGTCTTTAGCTGTTCTGTCTCTTAATTCAGTCAACTCAGTGTTGTTTGCTTCTAAGTCTCTTTGTAACTTTCTGATTGAACCATTCAACTTGTTGGTCTCGTCTTCGTGTCCCGAGACTAAGTTATTGAGTTGGTCATATTCGTCTTGAAGCTTCTTCTTTTCAGAAGAAAGTTGGTCTTTATCATTCGCCAAGTTCTTTACCTTCTCTTTAATTTCGTCGTTTTCCGCTTTCAACTTTTTTGCCTCCTTTTCTTTCGCAAATTTGTCTTTCTTGACAGTTTCAAGCTCTTCATTGGCTTCAGCGACTTCTTGTTCTCTTCTTGTGATAACACCAGTAAGTTCGTCGACTTTGGCACTCAATTCCTCAATCTTCTTATTGCTCTCATTGACAGTTCCATTGAGTTTCTTCTTATCAGCAGCATCAGTGTCGGCATTCTTCTTAAGATAGTTAAAGTTCTGTTGGAGTTGGTCAAGTTCGGCTTTAGTTCTTCCCAAGTGTTCTTAGTAATTCTCAACTTCTCGTTTGCGGCTTCAACTTTTTACGTTAAGAGCAGCTTTTTCTCTTTCAGCGTCTTTCAATTTGGCATCGACAACAGATTTTGTCTTAGTCAAATTGTCATTGTCAGCCTTCAATTGAGCCAATTGCTTCTCTTGAGCATCTTTCTTTCTGTTCATATTCTCAGCATCAGCTTCAAGCTTATCTTTGTTATCAGCAGTCTCATCAAGTTTGGCTTGGAGTTCCTTATTAGCAGCTTTGTTCTTCTCAAGTTCGGCAGTGATGTCTGCCAACTTCTGGAGAGCTTCTTTCAAGTCGTTGTCCAACTTCTTCCTATCCTTTTCCGTCTTGTCTTTTTCGCTTTGCAAGTTGGACTGAGCGTCTTCCAAATCTGCCAAATCATTTTCTGCTTTCTTCTTCTTTGCTTCAAGTTCTTCCTTTTCCTTTTGTTCTTCAGCAAGTTGTTCGTTCAAGTTATTAATTTCAACGTCTTTTTGGTTCATATTAGATTTAGCACCAGCCAAGTCCTTTTCAGTCTTCTCCATGTCATCCTTCAACGCTTGAATTTGAGCTTCGTAGTCGGCCTTCTGTGCTTTCAACATGTCAGAGTCATTAAGTCCGTCTTCAATTCTCTTTGTCAACTCAGCAATTTTTCTCTGAGCATCTTTATTAGAAGAATCAAGTTTTCTGTTCTTATCTTCTAATTCGTCTTTCTCTGAGTTCAATGATGAAATCTTCTTATCACTTGCATTCTTGGCTGAAGTCAAAGCAGCAGTCTTGGTCTTCTCAGCTTGTAACTGTTGGTTATATCCATCTCTCTCATCTGAGACCTTCTTGTTCTGAGCAACTTGTTGGTCGAGTTTCTTCTCGGTATCGTCAAGAGCCAATTGAGTCTTTTTCAAATCATTTTTAGTATTGGCAAGATCATCTTTAGTATCATTCAAAACAGCGCCAGTGTCTTCATTCTGTGCGTTGACATCAGAAATGGTGTTTTGCAACTTCTTGACTTGTTTCTCTAAATCAGCAATGTCGTCTTCCTTCTCGTGCAATTGTGTCTCAAGATCCTTTGAATTGTCTTCTTCGGCTTCAAGCTTCTTCTTCAAGTCAGAAATTTCTCCTTCCTTATCTTCAATGTCTTTGTTCAACTCAGTGATAACACTATCCTTCTTAACAATAGTGGCTTTGTGTTCAGTAATTTCATCTTGAAGCCCTTGATTATCAGCTTCAAGTTTCTTGTACTCAGTTGTTAACTTGCTCAAGTCTTCCTTTCCTCTCTTAATGTCACCTTGGAGTTCCTCAATGTGTTCTTGGTCTTCTTGTGACTTCATATCCGCCTCTTCAAGTGTTATCTTCTTCGACTCAATTTCTTCCTTGAGTTCTTCAATTTCGTCTTTGAGCTTCTGGACCAAAGCTTCCAAATCGACGTTCTTGAATTTCATCTCAGAAAGTGCCTTCTCAGCGGCTTCTCTCTTCTCAATTTCTTCACCAAGCTTCTTCTTAAGAGCTTCAATTTCTTTGTCCTTGGCTGCGAGTTCCTCATCGACTCTTCTTCTCTTAAGTGTTGGTCGGACCTTTTGGAATAATCTGAACCAGACCCAATTTCTGAATTGGTACCAAGTGTGGATGGTGTCTTGAATGACATTAATAGCAATCTGTTCATTACGTTTCTGTTCAATAAGCTTTCTTTGAGCAAAGGCTTTTGCACACATATGAAGACCACAAATAAGTTCAGTGACTCTGTTCTCTCTAATTTCTTCAATTTCAGCAAGAACACCAACTTTGAAGAAAATCTTGGTCTTACCAAATCTGAATTCTTCAGTGTTAACTCTTGGCTTGCCATCCTTCTTGTACTTCTCACAGATTTGTTTCATGAGCTTTTTGACTACTGGCATAGCATCTGAAGTTTTCTTGTTGATGTTAGTTCCAAGGAAGAAGTATCTCTTCAAGAATTCGTTGTAGATGATTCTGTTTGGATACCCAAGACGAGTAATTCTAATACCTTCCAAGACACCATTGCATCTCAATTGCTTCAAGACAGTTGAATCGATGAAGTAGTGTCTTCTCTTCTGTGTATTTGGAAGAATGCATCTAATGAAGTGTGGTGTAGTCATTCTCAACTTCTTCATAAGATCATCAAGTTGTTCTCTGTGATTAGATCCTACAGTCAAGAACTTGGCACCTCTCTGGCCCTTGTTGGCTCCACCAGCCGAGGCTCCAGAGTCATCACCACCGGCAACATGCAAACTGAACAGTTCTGAAATGAACTTCCCTTGAGCAGCCAAGAAAGTCTCTTTAATTTGTGGTTCCAATGGATCTTTGTTCTTTCTGACCCAGTCAATACCATCGTAAGTCACATCACCAGCATAGTGAATGATATCAAACTCAAAGTGTCCAGCAGTCGATGCAACTCTTGGCTTTCTGAACTTGGGATGTCCACCAAATGCTTGGCAAATCAAGTCATAGAACTGCTTATCGTTACCTGCGTTGGTGAAACACTGAGATTCCAAATGTGACAAGATTGAGGCTTTCTGCTTGGATTCGATCAAGTCGATGACCGGCTGAAGATCGTTACCAAAGTTCTGTCTTGTCCATTCAATTCCTTCTCTCAGATACTCTTCTTGTTCCAAATTGAACATGTGGTTGTTGAAGAATTGTTGCAACTTTTCATTTGTCAAGTTAATGCACAATTGCTCGAAGGAGTTCTCTCTGAAGATTTCAAACCCGGCAATATCCAAAATACCAATAGAAGTGTCTCCATCTTTTCTCATGACTCTGTTGACTTGCTCAACTATGAAGACGAAAAGTCTGTGGTAAATGAACTTCAACATAGCTTGTGTGCTTGCTTCGGCTTCAGTTTTGTTGTACTTCTTCTCAATGACTTCCTTTCCTGTTTTGAAAGATGGCTGAATAAGAGCCTTTCTGAGTGCTTCTGGCTCACATCCCCACAATTCACACGCCTTTGAGAGTTCATCCAAATTAGAAATCTCTGCCAAATCCTTCCCATCAACGTAACATACATTGCCCATGTGCAACATACCAGCTACAATCTTGAAGACTTCTTCTTGTTGATTGTCAGACAATCCAAGTGTTCTCATAGCAGCAACAGTGTTCTTGAACTCCTCCAAGTCATTCATGCCATCGACCATAATTTCATTTGGAGACGTCTTGTTCTGATAAATCAATCTGTATTTATCAGTGCTTCAAGTCTCCATTCGCTTCTTTGTTGTGGTGTGGCACCAGCCAACATTGGTAGAAGATGTGGTAATTTCTGTCTTCTTTAGCTTGTGAGACTATTCTGGACTTCTCAAGCAAATACATAGTCATCTTGCATCCAATGACT